AAAGTTTAAGAAGAAGGGGGAGGGGCTAACAAATCTTATATTAAGACACCTTACCTATTGGCACAGAGACCTTTCTCTTCTTGAAGTCTGGCCTAAACACAAAGCATCCCTATAAAAACAAAGAAAGAAAAAAAGCATAAAGTCAAAGTAGCCAAGGAGCAAATAAATCTGATTACCAAGTATTTTACAGGTAAGCAGTTTAAAAAACCTTTTAAAAAGGAGGGAAAACATTTATTTGAAGTTCTAAGAAATCATATTATTTCTTTCTGAATTACAGAAGAAAAATTCTTAAATAACAAGAAGACCATTCATTTCTTTCCCCTCCCTCCCATGGGATGCCCATCTTTGATTTTGTTCTCTGGGACCTGATCTAAGATGCAGACTAAGAAAATAAAAACTAATGAAATATAAGTCCAAAAAAGTTCCACTATCATAAAATGTAGAGGAGAAAGAACATTAAAACTGTACATTAAAATGAATATCAAGAAGGTTGAAAACAGTGACACTCTCCCATCCCAAAGAAATATTTATTTAATTAAACTCCAAGTATCTAGAACCTTGACAGGAGATAGATAATTTTGGCTATTTTTTCACCCTACATAGCTTTCTTCATCTGATAAACTCTTATTCATTTATCCATTAAAGTCTGACTCAAAATTCACCTCCTCTGGGAAACTTTTGCCTATTTTCTAGTCAGAAGTGCTCCTTCCCCTGAGACCTCACAGTACTTGAATATCTTTATTTTGCTTTGTTTTAAATCATTTTCATTGTGTATCACAGTTATTTACCAGTGTGTCTCCCCCAGTGGATTGTAAGCACCTTTGGAGCACAGGCTGTTTTTTATTTGTAATTATTTCCCTAATGTTTAGGATAGTGCTAACATACACATTAGGCAATCAGTATATGTAATGAATAAATGCTTGCCAAGTAATTTCCCTGATAATTTCCTGGCTAAATTTAGTTTCATATTATTATTTGAATAGTGGTACATAGCCCCCAAGTTACTGGTCCTAGTCTATTCTACCAATCCTCAAGCCATGCATCATGGATAGCTTCTTAAAGATTTCCATTTATATGGAAAAAGAATGAAAGAAACAAACCTAGGAAAAGTAGTCTCAGGAGAGTATTAAACACAAAAGTGGCCGTTCTTGATTACAGCTTCCAAATTAAGAATTGTACTTACATCTCCAACTAATGGAACTATGTGAAATACACATACATATGTAGAAAAATCAATCACTAAATTTAACTAGGAAATTACCAGGGAAATTACTTGGTGAGCATTTATTCATTCCATATACACTGGTTGCCTAATGTATATGTTAGCACTATCCTAAACATTGGGGAAATAATTATAAGTAAAATAGTCTGTGCTCTGAAGGTGCTGACAATCTACTTCGGGAGCCAGACTGGTAAATAACTATGATACACCATGACAAGCTTGTCATTGCCTTCTTTCCATATCCACCTGCAATTCAGTGAATGAAAAGGAGCACGATATGAAAAGTGCCCAGAACATATCCTAATATAAGGCAGTGGTAGTAAATGGGTAACCACTTCGAACAGCTGGTCAAGTGATAGTGTTTGAGATGGAGGAGGAAGTCTAGTAGGAGAGCCAACAACCAGAAAATATCATGAGGAAAGAGAAGTGAAAATGTTTAGTAGGTTAAACAAAAACAAAAACGAAAACTAGCAGTTCCTGAAATTCCTGAAATAGTCTTTGAAGGTTCATATTTATTTAAGGTACACTTCATAATCATCCCAATACAGACCAAAATCTTACACTGTCAAAAATCTTTCCTGAAAAAAATCTTACATTCTGCAAGATACACAAAAATAAGGGGTGCTTATGCAACAAATAGGTTTAGAAGATATACCACACAAAAACTATAGAACTTTCTAACCAGATCCAAACAGAAACAGTATCAATCTTAATAAAAATACTAGTACAGTTAAATCTATTCTGGCATTTGCACCTAGCATCACCGTCGGTCCTTTGTAACTTTAAACCCTACGGCTTGTACTTCCTCCTTGAGATGGAGTCTTGGAAAGCACTGCTCTCCATAGACCATTTTAATCAAAAGTGAAAATTAGAACCATGATATACAGCCTTTTTCATTAATCCACTGTTTTAACATAGGGAGAAATGTCTTTGCAGCTTCTTCATCTGCATTTTAAACTTCATCAGATAGCTTAACTTCAGGGGATTCCTGCTGCATTTATAATAGAACTAAAGATCTTAATTTACACGGTCCAGGGCAGTGCTGTCCAATAGAACTTTTTGTAATGATGGAAATATCATGTATCTGCACTATCGCTACACATGGCTACTAAGCATTTGAAAAGTAGCTAGTGCGACTGAGAAACTGAATTTTAAGTTTTACTTAATCTTACTTTATTTTAATTCAACTTTTAATAGCCACGTGTGGCTAGCACCTACCACATTGGATAGTACAGCTCCAGGGTTTATCTTCATACCAACTGCAATATGAGGAGATCTATGTGACCTCCTCCCACTCCACCCATCCACATTCATATATGCTTTACTTTTTCATTTTCATTTTCCATAATGCTCCCGCTCTTTTTCTACTCTGCAATTACACTTATTTTTCAGTTCCTTTAATATGCCATTTTTTTCCATCTTCTGGGCCAAAGAGCATGTTAGTCTCTTTCTCCTTTTCCCCCCAATCCTTTGCCTGACTTCTACTTATTTTTCAAGTCTCAGCCAAAATGTCACTTTCTCCAAAAAGCCTTCGGCGATCCCCGGCAATTTATATTATTAGGTTCTTCCCACATTTCTCTTATCTCACTTGGAACTTTTTTCCTTGCTAACACTTATCACAACTTGTGGTCATGAGTTTATCTGTGTTTAATGTCTTTCTTGAGTGCACAGACGGAGTATATTTTGCTTACCGCTGTATCTCCGTACCTAACGGAGTGGTTGGCGCACAAATACATATTCATGAGAGGGAAAAAGGAAGGGAGACTGGGGCATATCCTCAGAGCATCCCACCTTCACAGACCAGAACTTAAAAATCCTCCTAGCCACACCACAGGGCAGATCACGTCCTCGCTCTCCAAACAAAGTTGGCCTCAAGTGGACCTGGAGTAAAGACGCCTCGGCTCGGTCCGCGGCTCCCTGCCCTCGAGCTAAGGAACCGAGGCCTCCTAAACCTCCGATTCATACTTTCTTCAGAGAGGAATGAGGCAGTGTGGGAGCCCCAACGAGCAGGAGTAAAGACGCCTCGGCTCGGTCCGCGGCTCCCTGCCCTCGAGCTAAGGAACCGAGGCCTACTAAACCTCCGATTCATACTTTCTTCAGAGAGGAATGAGGCAGTGTGGGAGCCCCAACGAGCACCAGTCCCAACGTACCTTGGACACTGAGGAGGTGGCCATGGTCCCAGCGTCTGGGCTGAATCCAGCTGCACTCGGGATTTCCCGCGCGCCCTCGCGGCAGCAGGGCAGAGGTTAGCAACGGGCCACCAGGTTTCCTGATTGGCGGGCGTCTTCCTCCGGGGCGGGCTTCCGGCGCGCGGAGGCGGAGCGTGCGGAAGAGGGCGGGGCGAAGCCCGGGCCCTAAGGGTCCGAGAGAGCGTCCTAGAGCCCGACATGGCGTGTGGTTTCCGCAGATCCATCGCCTCTCAGGTATGGATACAGGAGCGGGCAGAAGGAGGGGCCCGGCGGAGCCATGGACCCCAAAAACCTTTCACCGCTGCTAACCAGTTCTCAGTTAGTGGGAAAGTGGGTTCCGCGAATCCTGTTTGTTTCTGCCACCTCCTTACCCCCTTCTCTGGAACTCCTGAGGCAAACCCTGTACAGGGTTGTGGATGTGGCCGAGAAAAGTTTCTCAGGGTGAAAAGTAAACCTTGAAAGGTACTTGTTTCCCTCACTCCTTCCCACGCCACAGCTTTGTATTCTTCACGCGGGTGGAAAGTCGTTAGGACATGATTAGACCCTGTGGAAACCGGTGTTCCTTACACTTAGTGAAGCTGGTGATGGATCGGAATTGCCATTCAAAAGGATCTAATTTAAAGGCTCATTATTTTTCTTGCAGTCACTTTGGCAGCCTATCGTAGACTTATTTTTGGTAACTCCCAAAGAAAAATACATGAGATACTTGAGACCCTGGTTTTCTTGGTTCGGAATCATAATTGAACAGCTCCGTAATGAAGAAGGGAATAAAAAACTGCACCACAAATCTGGAATTCATCAAAAAGAATTTTTAAAACTCATTGGCCACTTACAGAATTTTGCAAGGAAACTTTCTGCTACGGGCTTTACCAAACCCTTTTTGTTTTTATTAATGGACATATCAGTGGACATATTTTGCACAGTATATAATTTGGCTCATTTTTACAGTTCTAGACATTTGTGGGGAAATCCCCCTGCTCTTTATGCTTATAGGTGTACTGCCCTGTTCAGTGCCAGCTCCCCGGATATCACCAGCACAATCTTTTGATAAAACAAAGCTGAGTTTATTGCTTACTGGGGTAATGGAGAACACCTCTATAGAACTTTGGGAAGGCAAGGTCAGATTTTATTGAGAATTTGAAATATGGTTCAAGACTGGTCTTTCAGTGGCAAAGGGTTGGGGAGGAGGGGTTGGGGAAAGATGGCTTGATTAGGATTGGATACTGATCTTGATATAAAAGTTTAAGAATGGTGGAAAGAGCAAAGCAAGGAGTGCAGGGAGTCTGAAAGCATAAACTGTAGATGCTTTCTATCAGAAGTTTCTATAATGAACAATCAAGTTACTTGTTTGGGCAGGAGTCTCCTAGAATAATAAAGTTATGCTACTGGAGACAAAGAAATAATAAAGTCATGTTAATGTAGACAGTAAACTATGTGTGGAGTAGGTACTTTTGGACCTCAGTGTCCAAGCTGTGTGTGTATAGGGGACTGGGGGGTAGATGGTTTTCATTAGCCTTTAGGTTAAGATAGTGCCATGACCAGAAACATATTGTGTTTCATTTTGGAAATGCTTTATTCTTCCTTGTGAAGAAGGTTAGTTGGAGAAACAGGAACTAATATATTTTGAGTACATAATTGTGCTAGTTACTTTACATTCACATTGAAGCTCCATGGCAACCTTGTGATATAGAAGTATTAACCCTATTATACATTTGAGCAAATTGAGATCCAGAGAGGTTAAATAACATACCCAAGTCCACACAGTCAATAAATTCAAGAGTTGGTTTATGAACAGAGATCTAACTTCAAAATCGGCTGTTTCCTATACACTATGCTATTTACTTTGTAAAGGTAAGAAGCACAATCCGATCATTAAACAGAATCTAATGGATTTATATGGCAAAATAAATTAAACAAATATATATTTCTCTGAATATGCAGTTGTTGGGGATGATCTGAAACTTGAGGATAAATATGTGCAATACTTAGTACCTTTATGAATGAGTATAGTTTTGCTAGTTTAGGAATGAAGGAATGTATCACATGCAATGGCACATGCATTCAGCAAATTTAGGTTTATGAGTCTACAGTTTTCTAAGACCTGCCATCTGTCCCAAGGTTGAAGATCATGAATAGAACCAAAGGTTTCTGCCCCGAAATGGCTCCAGACTAGCTTGGGAAACAGATGTAAACAGGTAATTGCAGTGCAGTCTGTAACCACTATATTAGAAGCAATGTGCAAAGTGCTAAGGAAACTTGGAGGAGAAAGCTCCTAAGTATCAGGGAAGGCTTTGTGGAAAAGGTGATGTTGGGGCTCAGTCTTGAAGGGGGATGGGTGGGAGTGTGCCAAGTGAATAGGGTGAGAGCTTGGGATGGGTAGGGTATTCCAAGAAGAACATGTGCGTAAACAGGCATATATGGAAAGCATGATATGTTCACGGAACCACAATATTTGAGCATGACCGAAGTTTAGTGTATGCCTCTGATGCCTCACTTCAGCAAGCCCTGTTGATTCTATCTTCCAAATATATCTGGAATCCATTCCATCCACTCTTTTCCATCCCTGAGTTCTTTTATAATGGGCAGTAAGCATGTCTGCCCTCTTCTCTGGAGTGAGACACTGTTTCTGTCTTGCAAATCCATTTGCTATGCAGATATCCTTAAAAAGATAGTCCAGAACAAAGGCAATTTGTGCCTTGCTTACAAAACCCACAGAAACGTTGAGTCCAATAGAGATTTGTCTCTCTATCCTAAGCACAGTGGTATGCATTTCAGTGTACAATACTTGATATTATCCTATTTAGCCTTCTCAATCATCCTATGATTTGTATCATCTTTATTTATAGAGGACACTGAGATTCAGGTAGATGAAAGGAATTATCTGAGGTCTCAAAGCCAGAACTCTTTACATTTCTTTCCAATTTTAGTATATGTGCTGCCGAAGCGAGCACAGAACTCTTTACATTTCTGTAGAATAACAGTCATAGAATGTCCAGCACTATGTCTGGCTCAGAAACATAATAATAGATTGTAGATTTGTTTCCTTTCTCACTTCTTTTTCATTTAGGTTTTGACATTAAGTTTAGATTTAGCTGGCTCATTTTAATTTATTTTTGCTTTTAATATTGAAGTAATTTCAAACTTACAGAAAAGTTGTGATAACAGAAAAGTTGTGATAACAGTATGAAAAACTCCATACCACCTTTATCCTATTCACTAATTATTAACACTATGCCACATTTGTGTCATCATTCTCTCTACATCTATCTCTATGTATTTTTTTCCTCTATGATTTGAGATTAGGTTTCACACATCATGCTCCTTTGCCTTTTAATACATAATTATTTATATCCTAAGAACGAAGCTTATCTTACATATCCACAATAATTTATTACAGTTACATAACATTGATAAAATATTTTAACCTACAGTTTATATTCCAGTTTTGTTGATTTTTTTTCCAACATAGGATCATGAATTGCATTTAGTTGTTATGTAGCTAGTACATTTTAAGTAACCTTATGCTCTCCTAATTAACTTATATTTACATAACTTGTTAGAGGAGATACAGTGCTAACGTGAATAAGAAGACAGGCTTCCTTGACTCTGCTGATGAGTTTTATTCTCAGATTTCAGGTGTGGCCTCAAGAAGCAATTAAACTTGTTGACCAATTGTCATCTAGTCTTAAGGTGAAAATTTATGTTGGGAAGATACTCATCCACATGCAGGTGAACAACAGTGTGTGTGCTTTGCTCCTAACCTATTCTCACAAGCCCACCAGCATTCAGTTCTGCTTGAAACCACAAGTTATACAAGAGCCATGCTATATTTCTTTCATTATAAATAACTGGTAATAACTTGCCCTCTGAGTCCTTTGGGAAGTTCTTTTCTGAACTCTGAAATTTCAATCATTACCTTGTTTGCTTCTTGTATGCATCTTGGAGCTAATCCAGACCTGTTCCTGAAGAAAGTTTCTGCAAATATGGGAGGGCTTGTGCATTGGTTCTAGGTGGCAGACATGCAGAGCCTGACCTGGTGGTGTTAGAATGTCAAAAGTGAGGAATGACCAGGGGTAATTGACAGTTTAAGTAATTTAAGATCTGGAAGAGTGATTGGTAACCTTTTAAGAATTATAAGACTTATGGCCTTGTAGACTATTATATGGATAAAAATATAGAGCCATTTCATAAGAAGATGTCAGTTCTGGCACCTAGTCTGGTTGCTAAAGCATATAGATCTCTTTTTTCATTACCAAAACTGGGTTTTTATACAATTAGCACAGATTTTGATCTTGAAGCGGGCAAGGTTAGTGCCTAACTGAATTTAATACCTGTCTAGAACCAGACTGATGGGATATTTTTTGGCTTTGTATTCAGTATCTGGGTATTAGGCGTAAGAATCATGTTTGCCTGTGTGCCAGGCACATGGATGGTTGAGAACTGCCCACAAGCTTATTGATTAATGTGCTTTCACACTGGATGCTTTCAGATCCAAAGATCCTGTTACATTCATATTAGAATCTCTTGTTTGAGGTTCCCAAACCAGATCTGGCAGCTGTGGATTTTCTTTTTGTTGTTGTTGTTGTGGCTGGCCTCTATGGGGCTCTGAAACTTTGACCTTGGTGGATTTTCATTTTTGATACTCTCTTAAGAAGCTATTTCTGCTTTCAAACTCAGATGTGCTCCTGATTCAATTTTGTTAGTTTATTTCTCAAGGACCTAATATTTTGTTTGAATTCAATGAAAGGAGAAACCTAAGTGCAATTCAAAGAATTATTGATATGTTTCCTAAATGAGTTCTCTCCAGATTAGAAAAGTGATTGTGAAAAGCATTATTACAATTTGGAGTGTTTTTTTAAAAAAATCTTGATGTTTTAGATTTAGACAGTCTCAACCCCTGCCATGAGAGATAAGGACATTAGTACTCTCAAAGCATTATTACAATTTGGAGTGTTTTTTTAAAAAAATCTTGATGTTTTAGATTTAGACAGTATCAACCCCTGCCATGAGAGATAAGGACATTAGTACTCTCAATTGGTCTAACTTTCTTCTACCTTTACCAATTTGTGTAGGATAACTTTTACTCAAAGTTTATAGTCTGTTTTTATTTCTCTGTTAAAATTTTTTTTTTTTTTGTCCTTTTTGTGACCGGTAAGGGGATCGCAACCCTTGGCTTGGTGTCGCCCACACCGCGCTCAGCCAGTGAGCACACCGGCCATCCCTATATAGGATCC